ACATCTGGTATAGTTGAGAGAGAGACTGAACATCTTACAGGGTAATGGAGCTACTCTGTCTTAGCGCAGTTTTTTCTAAGAGACATCCTGTCCTCCTGCCCACGGTTTTGCCAAGGCTGTGAACTGACCTGGTGTGTCTGTTGGTGGACCACAGTCTGAGTTTACCTGATTTGGAGGATGTGCGGATGTCTGAGTGACCCTTTCGTACAGCCCCAGTTCAAGAGCAGACTGGAAATGTTGACACTTTGGTGTCAGACTCAGTGCTGCATCCAGCTTTAACGGTGGCCAACAGAAATGGAACAGATGGCAGAAATTAAGTAGAGCTTTCTGATGCTTGACCTAGTCTGCGGCCACGGCGGGACACCGTACTGCGTGTCAGCAAGGTCAGTGTCCACGGAGAGCTCCAAAATCGCGAGTGCTGGCCGGGTACTGGTGTGTGTCGTGTGCTGCCGAACTGTGGGCACCGGGGACTTCTGTACGATATGGAGGAGCTGAGGCCTCTGGGCTCTGCCTGCACCCATTTTACTGCCCGCAGGGTGTGCACAGACCAGAGTAGGTTCTTCTATCCGAACCCCTTTTATGCAGGGGAGCCAGAGCCACCCAGGACTGAGGAGGAGCTTGTTTCGATCCCTAGCAGCTAGACGGCCAGTGTTCCCAGCCTGCTGTCCCACTAGCATGTCAGGAGGTGACATCCACTGGCTCCGGAAACTGAAACCCGTTTGTATTTAACCTGCTATTAGTAATCACACATCCAAATTTATCTTACGGTTGTTGTGCTCTGAGAAGGACAGATTTTTGTAATGACAAAGGCTCAGGGCTGTCAGCATGGAAGGGATCTAGGAACAGCTGTCAGTCTGCAGTGATTCTCACCCGTCTGCCCTGCAGATACCACAGAGAGCTCCACAGTACTTAGATAAGTGGTAAGTGAGGTGCACGCTGACTCCCCGGCACTGCCGGGTCTGGTCGTGCATCCCTATAGAGTCCTGGTATCCGCACATGGCCCTCTACCGTTATATACTTCAAGAGCAATCTCTTGCCTTTGAACATGGCAATGTGCCCCCATTGTCCTTTTAATAAATAATGGGAAAGCAACCTCAAAAGAGAAAGTTTGGTCCAGCTTCCAAGCAAGCAGTGCATCTTCCAGCGTCGTCCTTAGGCCATTGCAAGTCCCTGGTAAACCCCTCTCTGTATGAACTTCAAAAAGAGAGCTGTCATTTGAGAAAATGATGGACAAAAGCATCAGCATCCTGGGAGTACGGCCTGCTGGCATTCCTATTATCAGCTGCAAAGCAAAGTGTGTTTATTTTAGCACAAAGGTGCTACTGACTAAGTTTGAAATATTCTGAAATTGGTGCTGAAATGACCTTGAGGTCATCCTGAAGGTCCCACAGCAGAACAGATTAGACAGACATGTTAAAGATGAGCAGTACATGAAAGCTCAGGGCTCAAATCTCCTGTCAGGAGGAGGAACAAGAAATCTTGTAGCAACGAGTGAAGACGGTAGGTTTGAAATGCCAAAGAATTGTAATTGTCTGAATTATTTCAGGTGAGAGATTAGCTAAATTCAGGGTGAAGTGAAAGTGAAATTCGGTAAGGAGCCAGCAGTTTAAGACATGTAGTAGAGCAATTGATCCCGAAAGCGGCAAGCCACACATTAATATTCCTGGGTTTATCAAAGCACATCGTCTCTAGAGTCATCATAATGCAGATTTAAAGTAGGCAGCGATCAATATGTGATTCCTTATATGCCACTGAAGTTCTCAGTCCTTCCTTTTGGCGAAATCATGACAGCATCTGTGTGCTCAGGCGAAACCTGTGCCAGCCTCTGCAGGCACACAGTCAGAAATACCGCTTTTGAGAGGGACTTGTTTAATTTTGAGCACTGTCCCGTGGCAGGGAGTTCAGTGCAGGGACGGAAGCCACTGCTGCCCTGTTCTGCGCTGTGGGGAAGTCCCGGCACGGCTTGTTTTACTGATGCGGCCGCAGCCAGAACGTGCATTTCCCAGCTCCACCACGACGGTCCCCAGCCTGGGGAAGTGAGCTTTTCCTGCATCTTGCTTTCTCATATTTTCGATGAGGAGATGCTTCCTCACCTCAAAGGGGCGGTGGGAGGAGAAGTCCATCCCGATGTGGGCAGGGAGGAGCCGAGAGCTGCAGAGGAAGAAATTGGCTCTGTTTGCATGCACTGCTCCCGCGGCAGCTGCAGGGGCACCTGATTACTTGTGGTTTTGGCAGATTTCCTTTACACTTCTGCCAGGGGCCTAAAGACAGTCATGGAGAGGAGCTAAAAATAGTCAAAATGATCACCTTTTTCCTAAAGAAAGTAACTAAATCATCTCCTCCCTTCCCTCAAAGTGCTCTTGGTGTCAGCACCTCTTCTTTGGGGGCCCATGTAATACCAACAGCCAAATTAGAAATCTTTTATAAAGGGGTTTATCCCTTTGCTGAATGCTTGACCTAGCTTGCAGCAGATGCCCGGACACAGCGCGCTGGCTGTGGTACCTCCTCTGAAGGTCTGTTGCTATCAATCTTGACCTGCTAATGTCATGGGGTTAAAAATACACCGGGTGCAGAATGGCCGGTAAATGCTTTTTTTGTCACCGTGGAGGAATGACGTGGTGGCCGGGATCCAAACCTCATCCCTTCTGCTGGAACAGCTGCTGCTCGTGCATTGGCCAGGGCCTTCGTCCAAGGAAGGGTCTCCTCATTGCATGGCTCCGTGTTCTGTGTTTTTCCTCAGCACCAGCAGCTTGTCTTCAAGGAGAGACATTGCATACAGGTGGAAAGTCGCTTGGGCACATGCCCGTTGAACTAAACTTGGAGCCCGCGCTATCACGTAATTCAAAATCAAATGTTTTTTGCATGTTTTTCGTTTTTGGGAGTGCCAAATCCCAGTGTATTATTTACATCAGCGGGGGATTTTCGGGAGTGCTTGTTGCTCCATTAGGCTTGTTGTGGACTTGTTTACTGCCACCTCTGCCAAGGGTGCTGCAAATCCCAGGTGTCCCCATGCCTCTCCTTCACCTTCTTAGAAACTGGGACTCTGCAACTGCTGGCAGGCGTGCTGTGCTTACCTGTGACGGGCAGGCACGCAGGAGGCCTTATTGTACGAATACACACCCTGGGTTATGGGCCACAAAGCTAACGCGTCCAAGATTAGATACTTTTTATTTTGGGCTCTGGGTCCTGTTTTGGTGCTGGCAACCTTGGCAAAGCATCAAGGTGAGTGAGAGAAATCAGAGCAGGATGCTTTCGGGTTTGTCAGGTTTTCTTCCATGTCCCATCCGACGTCTGCATTGTTGCAAGGATGGGCTGGTGCCCAGGGTCGTCGCTGACCCCTGGGTAACGCAGTTGTCCCCAGCGGGGATTAGCGGGGCATGGGGGACGGTGAGCCTGTCAGGGCTCCTATGCCGCCCGGCAATGCCTGCAGCGTAACTCCGAAGCTGCTGCACCTGCAAACGGGGGCTGGCTCCTCGAGAAGTGCGCTGCCGCGTCCTCCGCCTGCCCTGCTGGCTGAAACCTGGGCTGAGACCGCTAAGGGCTAGTGGTGAAATGTTGGTCTGGCTGAATTCACTGGCAAGACTTCAGAGCTCCACTGGAGCATCTCCATTTCCAGGGAGCAGCCGGAGCTGTTTCCCGGCCTCGGAGTGCCCTCTGCCGTGCACAGGAGACAGCAAAGGGTGTCTCTTACTGAAGTGGTTTTACTTGGCTTCCTCCTTTTGTTAAAGCTTTGCAGCCAGCATGGTTATTCGTCGAAGGCTGCTGGGTAGGTGCAGCCCATGAAACACCAAGATGTGACCTCCAGACCAGTCCCCTGTGTCGTCCGCATTTATACACCCTGCAGCCAGTGTAGAACTTACTTATACACTTAACGATACTTGCCACGTGCAGCGTATCAAGCAGGCGTCTGCTGGGGCCTGGTGTCTCAGTTTGGATTTCCTTCCAGCGATGCCCGGCAGGTCCCTGAAACCACCCTGCAGCAGGTCCTGCTCCGGCTGTGCCCGTGCATCGCTGCTCCCTCTGCCCTGGGCACTGCCTCCGGGCGCACACTTTGGGCTCCTTGACTGAGCAGCGCTAGCAGAGCTGCTTCAGTGCTAGGCTGCTTCCAAACCTCTGGGCGAATAGGGAAACCGGGCTGCAAAGAGGTAGGAGCAGCTTTTCATAAACAAACAAAACCTAGCCCTCTTCTCCGGGGCAAAGGCAGGGAGTTTAGACGAAGTGGTGGCAGCATGAGCACGCATTGCCATAGCTATGTGGAACTGAAAACAGGTGGCGAATGTGAGGCATAAACACAAAAGCTGAATTAAATATAAATCTTCCCCATGTGTAGAATCCTTTCTTGGAAAAACTTTGTCATCTTGTCCCTGTTACAACATTTTGGTTTGAAAAAAAAAAAAAGTATTCTTTTTTAAATGGTTTCAAATTTTTCTTGTCATCTGTGGTAACGTGCTGGTAGGGAGCAGAGAAGCATGTTGAGTGGTCCGGTGTTGCACTCTGCTGGGGGCAGGCCGGGTGGTCAGGTATTGCGGTGGCTTATCTGACAGCTGCTGGTTGAAGGCACCTTCTAGCAGAACAGCACAGGAGTGACAGTTCGAGGAAAGATGTCATGTATGGATCACTCTCTGCACGCTCTTTCTTCTTTCCTGCTTGCTCCTCTCCTGGGGTGTTTCCCAGTGTGAGTCAGAGTACCCTCACTCCCTCTCACCAGGCCATTTTGTGTTGTAATCTGCCAGGAGGTGGTCCAGGCTTGCAAAGCTACCTCCTCTGCCCGCAGGTGGGACTGTTGCAACTGGAGTTCATCAGCGACCACCAGTGGAAGAGGAAATGGGGTTGGTGGGGCTGGAGGCTGGGATGACCTGTGCTGGGGTTGGGTGCTCTTCTCCAGCTGTGCAACCACCGTGCTCGGATGCCCTTGTTCGCTTCTCAGAAGCCAGTTTTTAGTCACATTTTCTCCCTGCTCTCTGCTGACCTTTCTCTTCTCCCTGTGTTTTTTTCCTTAGGTCGAAAGCTGAGAGGAAAAGCCTTTTATTTTGTCAATGGCAAGGTGTTCTGTGAAGAAGATTTCCTGGTAAGCACGCAGCCGACCCTTGTACTGGCATGTCTCCGCCTCCCTGGCAGACACGCAGCATTTTTGCCTGTCAGCTTTGCCTGCGTTTCACATCGCTCTAGTCCAGCATCCTGCCTGGCCATTCTGCTCCACCATTTACCCAGGGCCAGCCCCAGCCATGGTGGCTGCCCACATGTGATGCTGGAAGGACCCAAGCAAGAGGCCGTGGTTTTGCGGTGCAGAACCCACTAGTCAAAGCTATAATCTCTTGCAATGGCTCCTTCAAAGCGTGTCTCTGTGGCCATGCCTTGGGGGCAGGAGCAAGATGAATGGCTGCAGAAGTATGAATGAGTGAATTTTTCTTTCCAGTCAGCTGGGTTTGGTTGGGCCTCTCAATGGATATCATTCTGTTGCCCTCAATGGATTTTGTGTGAACATACCTGAGCGTGAAGCAACCCCATGGTCCTCTCCTTGGCTAGTGGAGATAAGAAGCCATATACCCTTCTGCCCCTGAGTCCTGATAGATTAAGCCTACACTGAGACTTGAAAAAGTTGTATTTGCCTACTTATTGGGGAAGTCTAGTCATTTCTGTCAGAGAGAAGTGAGTTAATCTTCTTTGCTCTCATCAGTATATTCTACGCGGGTTGAAAATGGAAAGGTTGGTTAAATGCATCTAAAATATTTAATTTTTCCAGTTTGCGTTTCCACCATGTAAGACAGGACTGAAACTTTAGATAGATGATATGTTGTGCCTGAGGTGCATGTCATGGACATGTCAGGCAGTTCCTTGCCATTAGGTCTCAGCAATAGCAGCAAAAAAGTTGCTTTGGGCCAGACTTGATTGTTGTACTAACAAGGAGCTGGGACAATGCCACTGACCTCGGAGAAGCTTCAGTAGACCTATAACGGTGTAACCAAAGGAAGAATTTGGCTTTCCAAGCCTATAGATACAGATAATGTGATATGAATATGTGATAAACACAAGTAAGTTCCTGGCTTGTAGATTCACATAGTCAAATAAGCATGTAAGTCTTATTAGTAAATGCCTTATTTGCATGTGCATTTATGATATTTATTTATATATGTAACTAAACCTAAATTTAGAACTTGAAAGTTATAGGAACTTGTAGTCCTTCTGAACACTGGAAATCTGGTATCTTTATAGAATATCCTCTGGGGACCCATCCATAGCTTGATATACTGAAAAAAGCACAGGCAAGTTTAGCTTGTGTAAGGAGCAGAGAAAGAGGCCACACAAATAACACCCCACAATATACTGTTGTTTGTGCTCGACTAGCCTTGTGAAATTTTAAGCCAGTTCTTTTTTGTCTTTGCAGTATTCTGGTTTCCAGCAGTCAGCTGACAGGTGTTTCATTTGTGGTCATTTGATAATGGACATGGTAAGTGATAATTGCTTTAGGAGACAAAAAAAATCCAACAGCTTTTTAGAATAATACATCAAAAGCAACATATATTCATATCCAGTACTGTCTGTTATCATCTGGTGGTCTGCCTAGTGTGAGATTGGTAGCAGAAAGAAAATCCACTAAACCTTTTGTTAATTTTTGTGAGGAAGTGAAGCTGGCACCCTGCTATGTGTGATGCAGAGACTTTTTTCTGCTTATTTTCAGTGCACGTTGAAAAGCAGAGCCTTCAGGATTTTCAACCCCTTTTGAGCTTCCCCGAGCAGTGTATTCGTAATCCTGTCGATGCTTCCTGCTCAGAAGTGCCATGGCTCTGCAGTGCTCCCTTGCTGTGGGGCGTCAGTGCAGCTCTGCTGAGCCTGTCTTCCCTGTAGTCAAGCTGTGGCTTCCCACGTACCTTCAGGATGAAGCTGCTGTCTTGTTGCTGGGTTTTGTGGGTGCTGATACTCTGGGGAACAGGTTTGACCCAGGGTCTGTGATCCAGACCTCAGTTCAGATCTGCCCAAGTCCCTGCAAACTCTTCAGTAGATGTGTGGCCATC